ATTGCATATCAGGATACTTTTTCATTCCAAATGCATTTTAAGTATTTTGATTTTTAAGTTTTCACTTAAATGAATTATTTACAGGAAATCTGTTCTCTACTATCAGCAGCTAATTTTTCTTTTTTTCCTTGGCTGTGGACCATTCTGTTGAGTGTTCTTGAGAAGAGTGTGCATTGCTTACACATAACTGATTTACAGCTAGACTGCCAACATTGTGATTTTGTGTCTTCTTCACTTTCAGCAAGCAGAGTTGTGTCGTCTGGATATCACAGGTTGTTCAGAAGCCTTTCTCCGACCCTGATGCCGGGTTCTTCTTAATAGACCAGTTCCTCGGATTATTTGCTCAGCAAACAGATAGAGTAAGTGTGGTGAGAGGATACAACTCTGACACATGCAGTATTTCCTTGTCCTGTTTGCACAACTGCCTCTTAATCCATGTTCAGGTTTCACCTGAATACAATTTAGTGTTATGAAGTTCACATTCTTCTCAAGGCTATCCATAGTTTTTCACGATCCACATAGTCAAATGCCTTTTCAAGAATATACATAGCTTAACAAATTTCATCAAAATTAAAATACCATTATATTAATTTTTGTAAATAAGTATATATCTATCTTTTTATAAAAGGAGGCTTCTAAAAGCTTATGAAAATGGAATTGGAAGAAATTTTTCCCAAAATTTTGGAACTCCCTCATATATACATATATAATACACACATAGGCATGAAGTTGTTATATATTGTTATATTAATAACAGTACAAAATAAATATAAATATGACACCACTCACCTAAGAATAAATATTTAAATATATCTAGTAATGATGACACTTTAGAGACTAAGGTATAGCGCAACCAAGACATGGTATTTGCAATTATCTCTTATGTGAGTGAAAGCTGGACATAGGTAAGACTAAAGAAAATATTGATGCCTTTGTTTTATAGCATTGGTGAAGAATGTAGACCATATCATGGATTGCCAGATTGTCTTGGGAGAAGTTCAGACGGAATTCTCCTTAGAAAGGATGGTGGAGAGAGTTAATCTCTCATACTTTGGACATATTATCAGGAGGGACCAGTACCTGGAGAAAGACATCGTGGTTTGGAAAGCAGAGAATCAGCAAAAAGTAGGTGCTCAACATCACGGAGCGACAGAGTGACTGTAACAATGGGCTCAAACATAACAATCATACTAAGAACGTGCTGTCGCAAGCAGTTCCCTTCTACTGCGCAGGGTCACTACATCAGAACAAAGGAGCCCTGGTGGTGTAAGGCATTACACATTTGGCTGCTAACAAGAGCTATGAAGTTCAAATCCAACAGACACTAAGGGGAAGAAATACAAGGCTTTCTGCTCCTTTTAAGATGTAGAGCCTCAGAATCCCACCTAGAGTTACTATGAGTCAGATTGATTCGATGGCAGTGAGTTTTTCGAGTGACAGCATCCAATAACTAAGCAAGCCTATAATGTGTGTATATTATTTTCCATGGTAAGAATTGGACGTTTCCCTCTGAAGTTTAAAAATACTTTCATAATGTTCATTTATTTAATTGGAAAAATATAACATTTGGCCTTCATTCAGACAAAATAGTTCCGTAAAACAATAAATACAACCAGAAACAGAATTAATTTGGACCATGCAGTACAATAGAAAAAAACATTCAAAACTTATGGGGAAACTGATTATTTACATGCATTGCTGGAATAGCATCATCCCTCCTGTTTGTTGGGATCTTCTGTGGCACTGTGATTTGCAGAAGAGGGTCTTCATAATCTGCAGTGAGCAAAACATGAAGGAACTTTTCCCAGTGCATGGCAATGGCCTTATTTTTCATTTCCTTATTGTCTCATTTCCTGTCACCCTTTCTACCTCCCAAGTCCTACTAACACCGCCAAGCACACACCCCAAAGATAATACGTGTTAGGCTCGCAAGGAGAGACTGAGCTAGAAATGGAAGTACATAATCCGCTTCTTCCCAGAGACACTTTGGGGCTTGCTAACACCACCCCCTACCCAGCACTGAATGCGTATAGGAGGGCTGGCTGTAGGATCTCTGGACCTCCTCCCAGCTCTTTCCATCCCGCCCGCCCCCTCCCCAGGAGATGCCTGTTTTCTCCTGCTGGCCAGGTAAGTACAAGAAGCGCTCTCAGCCTGCTCGCAACCCTCCCACTAACAGGTCATTAGCATCGGTGTAGGCTCCGGGTCCTGAAACAGGACACGCAAGGCTCCCCAGGGAGGCCACTGGTTCTTTCCAGGTGCCTCAGGGGGAAGGGCAACCCCAGCAAGCCATGGCCCTGAGCAAGGTAGTGCTTTGGGACAGGCTGTTTGACTTACTCTGGCTGGCGGAGGTGAGTTGGCCAAGCCCCGCAAGCAGCAGCAGCAGAGGGAGCATTGCAGAGCCAGCGGGCTGCCACAGGACGGCGGCCGTTAAGAGAGCCGTTGCAGCTTGCGGCCAAGGGCCTGAGATTCGCTGTGGGGCCCGGGATAAATTAAAGATGTTAAGAAAAATCTAAACCAGTCAGTTTATAGACAGTTTGTGTCTGGACTCATTTTATATGTCAAGCCAAAAATAAATAAATCACCACTCTAAACCAACATTGAAAAAAAATTATTCCTTTGTGCATAGGTATGGTCTTAGAAAAAAGTGTCGTTTTTAAGACTAAATAAAAGGCTAAGCATTGAAGTTTTTCTCTTCATCAATATGGTGTTCGCACATTGACAGGCAATTTTATTGTTTGGGGAAGTTTTCATTTTATTGTTCAATAAACATGTTGACTTGCCTCATATTAATTATTACAAGTAGTATTTTTCCAGACATTCATAAATTTTATTCTATATAACATTTCCATTTCTTACATATACTATTTATGGGGAAAAACAAAGTACAGTCATGCCTTCTTAGTCTATAAAAGAAAAACAAAAATGAAAAATAGAGAATAACTTTTTAAATATACATTTTTATATGTTTAGTAACACATCTTTATGTCAAGAATATATTCAATGCATAGCACAGTAAATACCAAATATTTAACACAGAAATAGTAAGTAATACATATACACTAGATAATTTAAATTCTAATCATTTGTGTGTATATATGAGAGAGATGAGTGTATTAACATTCATTCATTGGTTTAAAGATATAATGTCTTTTAAAATCTATATTTTTCTGTTTTGCTAAATAGTATGGAAATTGATGGAGTTTGGTGTATCGGGGTTTATTTTTTAAAGTGAAAACATTTCTGATTGTTTACATCCTTAACAAATATTTGAAATTTGAGGTATGTCTTGGTAGTCATAAGTATTTAAAGATTCTTCATGGTTATTTTGAAAACCACTAGGATTCAGTCAAATGAAGAAGAAATTATATGCATTTTAAAACAGATTTACTGGCATAGAATTCAATATCATACAATTCAATATTTTAATCATATTTATAAAAGTTGTGCAATTATCTAACCAATCAATTTTCTTTCTTGTACTTATTGTTGCTAGCTACCAATTTTCCCCCAACTTCCACTACCATATCCCTAGGAAACTAATAATTGCGATCTTCTGTGGGAAGATCTTCTATACATCTATCTTTATAGATTTATTGATCCTATATTTCATATACAGAACTATATACCCAAAACAAAAATAAAACAGAAAAACTTAAATAGAAACGAAAGCAAAAAGTATTAATTAAAAACTAGAACAAATGTAAAATGAGTCAAAAGGGAGCTCAAACCCAAGGTGTCACATTTTAACCTAGTGACATCTGCAGTCATCCACCCTGCAATGCACTCTGCTAGCAAGGCCATGGTTAGAGGGGGCGGTTCGTGGCTAGAGGGGATTTGCTGGAGGCTTAGTCCACATGGGGACTCCTCAAATGAATTTTGGACTTTCACTGTCTCCTTAGCCTTCTGTAAAAGCAGGTATTCAGAAGTGAAGCTCTAATATTGTTCCCTCCACTGGATTTTGATTTGATTATTCACAAACCTTGGATCACAAAATCTGTGGTGCTTCTATGGACTTAGCTGACACCTGTCTTAGATGGCTGCTTGTTTTAAGCGAGGCTTTTAAGACTCCCGATGATATCCTTTCTTATAGCTGAGCGAGCACCCTTTGTTTCCCTCATCACACTTAGTTATAGCGCCCATATCTTCAGTGATCGCTTCATGAGGGCAAGTACCAAGCAGAGCCATGTCATAAGAATTAATCCTTTGTGGCTTAGGGCTCCCATTATATTCAAGCACAAAAAGCATTGCTTTATATGCTTCCCTGGTTCGCTTTTGAGACACCATTATCCTTTTAGTGGAGAATATTATAAATCATCCCCATGGGACATATGGTAATCTTATTGATGGTATTATTAATTTAGTCAATGGTATGGAATTTAAAACACTGCTAAGAAAAGGAAACTATATGATAGTACAGTTTTTTAGACCAAAATACATGAATTGTTGATTCCCACCTCCACCCACTCTTTCTGTACCCTCAGGGAATCATTACTCCCATTATTATTTCTGAAGGGTTTATCTATCTTGAGTTTCATGCATTGAAAGATCTTAATTATACAAATGAACATACACAGGTCTAACCGGATTAATGAGGTAAAACTAAGACAATAACAGTAAGGGGAGGAAATATTAAAGAACTAGAGGATAGCTACATGTTGCAACAGTACTATACTGCACCCTGGATATATCATCGCTTCCCTGTGGCCCTTCTGTGAGGAACTGTCCAATTATTTTATAGGTGGTTTTGGGGTCTCCACTTTGCCTGTGCTCCTTCACATCAGCTTGGTTGCTTGTTTTTGAACTTCTGATACGTATTTCTGACACATCATGATCGATCACACAGGCTGGTGTGCTTCTTCCATGTGGATTTTATTGCTTCCCTGATAGATGGCCGCTTGTTTAACTTCAAGCTTTTAAGACCCCAGACACTATTTCTTTTAATAGCCAACCACCATCAGCTTTCTCCACCACTACTGCTTATTGTGTTAGTCTGGATTGACTAGAAAAACAAATTTAGAGACACTCATATGTGTGTAAGAGAGAACTTTATATCAAAGAGTAATTGTACATTAAGAAAACATTCCAGCCTAGTCCAGATCAAGCCCATAAGTCCAATATTACCCCGTATGTCAATACTAGTCCACAAATTCCTCTTTATACTTACACAGCCATGCCATGATGCTGAATGCAGGAAGATCACAGGCCAGTAAGTGGAAAGTCTTTTGGATCCAATGGTGGTGGAAGCATCTCAGTGCTGGCATGGGTCTCCATGTGGCTTCTCCAGTTCCAGGGCTCTGGCTGCAGCAGTGTAGTTCCATGTGGCTTGTCAGCAGGAAAAGGAAGCAGAGAGTGTTTCTGGCCTCCAGTGAGTATTTATATCCTCACACCTCCAAATGAGGTCAAGCTGGGACATGATTGACAGGCTAGACTCCATCCCTTTGCAAGTTGACAGTTTATGTAAGTGCCACACTTATGCATCCATTTTGTCTTCAGCGATCATGTTGGGAAGGTGAGTATCATATATTACCACATTATTAGAATAAACCATTCTTGTGCTGAGGTAAGATTTAAGTAGAAAAAAAAAAAAAAGATTTAAGTAGAGGCCTAAAGTCCACCTGCTTCCTTTTTGGATAGCTAGATAGATAGATTTATATGTACATATGTATGTAAATATATACACACATGGACAATTACATCTATATATATTTATATATTTACACACACATATATATATTTACACCTATATATAATTTTTACTTTCTTGTTCTTTCCTCTTTTTCTTTTTTCTTTCCTCCTGCCCTACTATCATGTTTACCCGTCATTCATCTCTCAGTAATTCCTCTTGGATACATTTCTATTGATCAAACACAACCAGGAATGTTTCCCCCTCCTCACCATCACTTTTAGATCCCTTGCTATCCCCCTGCCTCTGTTGTTATTGGTGCATAGCTCCCCTCCCCCCACTTCTCTCCCATAACCCCCCCAACCATCAGTCCTATTGCTGTCTCTTTGTGATTGTTTATCTTGCTTAACTTATATTGATAGACACCAAAAGGGAGAGAGAAAACAAACAACAACAAAGAGAACCCATGCAAATAGTGCCAAGTCTAACTATTGTCCTGAACCCAGTTAATGAATATCCCTCTGTTAAATAGCAAGCAGGCTCTGATAAGATCCGTTGGTCCATTCCCCTTTTCTTTTGGGGATCCATCTCCCAGGACCCACTTACCTAACAGCACTTGTACCCTTTCAATCCTCAGCATTTGTGTTCGAGGGGCATCCCTTCTACATGACCCCATTGCTCTTCCTGCAGTCAAGGCTGGAGCAGTCTAGTGCCCCACCCCTCATCCCGTTATACCTTTAACTTTCAGTACAGTCCCCTTGTGAATATCCTCCAACCAGTTCAGATGAGGTGCCAAGCTCCACCTCCCGCCTCCCCCTGAGTCAGATGTCCACTACCAAATTTCTCAGGGACATCATGTCTTTGCTCCCATTGCTGGTCCAGTGCACTCCCCTCTTGGTTTGTCCCCATGTGGACTGGTCAGACTGGGACTAGGGAGGGGCTGTCATGTCTCAACCCAGGGCTGGCCCTGCAGTCCTCTCTGTGGAGGAGCTGCTCTGAACAGGAACACTACCCTCGAGGCTTGGTGCCTCAGAATGAGGTCTACTCTCTCTCTGTTCCCTGTGGAGACATAAACTATACCCTCTCCTTGGGTGGATTATTGCCCTGTTCCCCTGGCCAGCTTTTTTTCTTCCCCCACCCCTCTGTGGGCCGTAAAGGCATATAGAGGGTGGGGGGAGAGAGAGATGTCTTTCTGAACCATTTGCTATCTGCATCTCTTTTTTTATCCTTTGCTTTTTTGATGACGCATCATTGTATTCAGTCTGGCTCTTGCCAGAGTAGCTGGTCCTCAGCCAAGGAATGTGCAATATGGATATTTTCCCCTATGCCCATTCTGTTGTTTGAACTTACCTCAGTGGACTCATGTTGTACTTGTCCTTTTGCGCTTGGCTGTCTTCACTCAGCAGAATATCCTCCAACATATTCCACTAGATAAGGTGCCTGATTGTTTCGTCACTGTTTCTTAGGGATGCATACTACTTCATTGTGTGTATACCCCAGAGTATTGTAATCCATTCATCTATTGATGGAAATTTAGGTTGTTTCCAGTTCTTCACAACTGTGAACTGTGCAGCAATGAACATTGGACCGCAGATGTCTGGTCATGGCCTGTTCCTTATTTCTTCTGGGTATATGCCAGTAGTGGAATGGCTGAGTCACAAGGTAACTCGATTTCCATCTGTTTGGGTATCACCAAATCCCTTTCCACAGTGGCTGTACATTTCTACAAGACCACCAGCTGTGAATGAGAGTTCCTATCTCACCACACCCCCTCCAACAGTTGTTGCTTTCTCTTTTCATGAATGGGGCTATCCTTGTGAGTGTTAGATGGTATCTCATGTTTGTTTTGATGTGAATTTCCTGGATGACTAATGATCAGGAACATTTTCTCATGTTTATGGCCATTCAGATTTCCTCCTTTGTGAAAGTTTCTGTTCAAGTCTTTTGCCCAGCTCCTCAGTGGGCTACTCGTTTTTTTCTTATTGTAAAATTGCAGGGTTCTGTAGAGTTTAGCAATTAGACCTTTGTTTAATATGTCTTTAATAAATATCTTTTCCCGTTTGTGGGCTCTCTCATTAGTCTCTTGATGAAGTTTTTTAATGCACACAAGTGTTTTATCTTTAGTATGCCCCACACATCTATGTTCTCTTCCTCTGGGTGAGTATCTTTCATTATTCCCGATAGCCTATGTAGTATTGCCTGCATTAAGATTCTTAGTTTTGTCCCAATTTTTTCATTGATGAACCTGACATTTGGGGGTTTTACCTCGAGGTCTGTGATCCACCTTGAATTTGTCCTTGGGTATGGGTGAGGTAAAGGTCTTGGTTCATTCTTTTGCAGGATGACATCAGTTTTTCCAGCACAATTTGTTAAAAGGAGCATCTGCTTCCCATTTGAATTGCAGGGGGCGTGGGGACGTATCAAAGGTTAGTTGTCTGTAGTCTGCTATTTTTATTTCTGGATTTTCTGTCCTTATACATTGGTCCCAGTATCTATCATTATACTAGTAGCATGCTGTTTGGACCACTGTGGCTGCATAATAAGTTGTAAAGTCAGGTAACGCAAGACCACCACCACCACCCAAACACACACTTTATTCTTCTTTTTGAGTTTTTTGCCAATTCTGGGTTTCTTCCACTTCCATATGAATTTGGTCATTATTTTTTCCATTTCTTTGAAAAATGATGGTATTTGTATCGCGATTGCATTGAACCTATATAGTGCCTCAATCTTTATAATATTGAGTCTGCCAATCCATGAGCAGGGGATATTTTTCCATTGGTGAAGGAAGGTCTCTTGTACTTGATCTTTTCTTTTCTTCTTTTTTTTTTGGTTAGGAATATCACTAAATATTTCAAATTTTGCTCGACTCTTGTGACGAGTATAATCTTCTTGGTCTCTTTTTCTGTAATCCCCTCAGATAGCAATGCAATTGACTTCTGTTTGTTGATCTTGTATCCTACCACTCTACCATGTTTCTCTATTGCTTCCAGCAATCCTAGTGTGGAGGCTTTGGGGTTCTCAACATGGACAGTCATATAACCTGCAAATAATGATCATTTCACTTCTTCTTCCCCAGACATACACATTTGATATCCTCCCACTGCCTTGTATTAATTATACTATTATCTAGACCCTCCAGGACTATGTTACTAAAAGTGGGGACAAGGGGTATCCTTGTCTGGTTCCCCTTTTCAGTGGGAATGTTTTCATCTTTTCTCCATTGATTGTAATGCTGGCTGTTGGATTTTCATATATAGCTTTAAGTATATTGAGGCCATTTCCTTCCAGTCCTATCCTCTTGAGTGTCATAATTAGGAATGGGTTTGAATGTTGTCTAATGCTTTTTCTGCATCTATTGATATTATCATGTGGTTTTTGTCTTTTCCTTCTCAATGTGGTGGATGATGTTGATGGATTTTCAAATGCTGAACCAACCCTGAATCCCTAGGATGAATCCAACTTGGTATTTGTATTCTATTGACCAAGATTTTGTTAAGGATTTTTGTATTGATGTTCATTAGAGATATTGGCCTGTAGTTCTCTATTCTTCTCGGATCCTTGCCTGGTTTTAGTATCAATGTTATACTAACTTGGTAGAATGTTTTTGGGAGTTTACTCTCCTTTTCTATGTTCTGGAAGAGTTTGTGTAGCATTGGTGTCAGCTCTTCCCTGAATGCTTGGTAGAATTCTCCTATGAAGTCATCTGGGCCAGAGCTCTTTTGAGTTGGTAGTTCCTTAATAACCTTATCTATTTCTACTTTTGCTATGGGTCTGTTCAAGTTCTGGATACCTATATGGGATAATCTGGGAAGGATTTGTTTTTCCAGGTATTGGTCCATGCCTTCCTAGTTGTTGTATTCCTTGGAGTACAGTCCTTCTTACTACTGTGTAATCAGTCTTTTCATTTCATTGGGGTCCATGGTAATTTCCCGTGTCATCCCTCACCCTGGATATTGATGTCTGCTCCTCCTATGTTTTCTTAGGTTTGTCAATGGTTTGATTTGTTTGTTTTGTTTTGTTTTTTATGTGTTCTCTAAAATTTTCGTGATCTGGGAAAACCCTTATTTCTCCATCTAATTTGATGGAGAGTTTGGCAGGATAGAGTATTCTTGGGTTAGCATTATTCTACTTCAACTTTTGGAAGATGCTATTCCATTCTCTCCTCTTCTTTGTGGTTTCTGCTAAGTCTGAGAATATTCTTATATGATTACCCTAATAGGTGACTGCCTTTTTTTCTCTAGCTGCTCTTATGATTTTTACCTTTTCCTCAAATTTGGGTAGTTTGAGACTATATGCCTTAGTGTGTTCTTCCTAGGGTTCAGTCTAGTTGGTGTCCTCTCTGCTTTCTGAATGATTGTCTGATTCTCCTTATTAAATTAGGGGATTTTTCTTCCAGGAATTCCCACACTATCTTGGCTGTTGAGTTTTTCATAATGTCTTGCTCCAGCAACTAGATTATTCTAATATTGTTCTTCTTCATAGCTTCACTCATTGTTCTCAGGTTTTCTCCAGCTTCTTTGATGATCTTATCTTGTCTGATTATCTTTGATTATCTTATCTTTGTTGAACTAAACACTAGTTGAATTCTACTTGGATATCTTGGAGGTCATTGATATTATTCTCAAACTCTCCCAGTTGGCCGGTTAGGTCTTTTACTGTTTGCTTTGCTTCTGCTGAATTTTCCCTTAACTCTCGTATTGCCCTTTGGCACGCTGACTCTATCCTACCAATTTTTTCATCCTTATTCTATTTTGATTCCTTCATATCCTGTATGACTTTAAGCAGCATACTGAAGATTTCTTTCTGTTGCAGTTCAAAGCCTGCCTCTTCTATACATGTTGCTAGGTTCAGGTCCTCCTCGAAATTGTGTTTTGTTTCTCTTTCTTTCTCGTAGTGGCTGCTGGTGTGAGCAGTTGTCTGTTTGGCGTTTTGGTGGAGCTCAGCAGTCCAGGGGCCCTATGAATTCTTCCCAGAGGCTAACAGGGATGATTCTAAGGATTACCTGGAGCCAACTGCATGTATGTTTGAGCTGCGTCTTTATCTCACTGTGGTTGAATCTCCAATAAGAATGATTTTAAGGCTTTCCAGAAGCTCCCTGTGCTGCCAGATTGTGCTGCATCTCTATCTCACTAAACGGGGGATTTTCTATTTGGGGACAGATTGGTTGGCCCTCTCAGGCAGCGTGGGTGGAGTGGTCTTAGGCAGTAGGGGTGGCACTGGGAAGGCTGTTTGCATGGGAAGCACAAAGTAAGGGCTCCAGAGTATGCACAGCACAGGGTGCCAGCATGAGGAACCCATGTGTTGGAGGGTGCCAGTGGGGGGTCGGGGTGGGGGGGGCGGAGCATGTGCAAGGCTATGGTGCAGGGCTATGGTGCAGGCTGCTAGAAGCAAGGGTGGTGGTGTGTGGGGGGGGTAGGGGTCACAAGACTTATAGCTGCAGCTGGAGGTGGGAAGCGGGGCCATGGTCTTGAAGTGGCAGTGGTGGGCAGGAGGCCAAGGCAACTGGAGTATGTGGGGACAGAGCCACTGGGCTGGGAAGCAGCAGCACCAGGTGGAGAGCCAGACCAAAGCCACTAAGCTTTGGTAGTAGTCTGGGCAGGAAGGTACTGACGGCAGATTGGGGTGGAACCACGGGCCTCAAAGTGGTGGTGATGGGCATGGGATGTGACCACAAGCCTGGAAGTGGCAGTGGTAGTGGGGGTGGAGCTGTGACCCAAGAAGCAGTGGCAATAGACTGGGGATGGAGCTATGAGCCACAAAGTGGCCATGGAAGGTAAGGGGTTGGCCTGCAGCCTATGAAGCAGCAGTGGCAGCAGGCAGGGGCAGGGCATAAGCTTCGTGTGAGTCTGGGGGGTGATGCAGGCAGATGTGGCCTAGGGACCACACACTGCCTCAGCTGGTCTGATCATGCAGGAGAAGCATGGTGGGTCAACACTGTGGGGCAGGTCTGCCCACACACTGGTACAGACCCCGTAAGTGCCATGAGTCCTCACTGCACTTACCAGATCCCCCATTCTGCCTCCCTATTCCCCATGCAGCAATCCACTGTGGAATTCCTGTTGCAGTTACCGCTACCTCACAGCCATCTTCCCAGAAGTCCTAGATGATTTTATGTCAACTTAAAGATGTATGCAAGTGTATGGGGTGGAACCCCATCTGTTAATCAGGTCACATCCTGCAGCTCTCTCCTTAGGAGTATGGTTTTCTCACAAGGAAGACCCTGGGAACCTATGTCTCTATCTCAACCTTCACCTTCCTGCTCACTGCGACTAGGCCACTGACCCTGAGAGTTGCCAGAGTTCTGTCATGTATCCATGACACACTTGAATCCATGACGTTGCATCCACTGGCCTGGGATCTTCTGAATTCTTCATCATTGCATCCAGCTGCATGAGTCTGAAGGGGGCTTTATAGAGTGATAGTGGACTTATGGACTTGAGTTGGAATGGGCTGTTATGTTTTTTGATATATAATTACTTCTTAATATAAAACTCTTTCCTGTGCATATACAAGTGTCACTGGATTTGTTTCTCTAGTCAAACTGGCCTCACACCTTTTGCTCACCTTTTGATGCCCACCTTTTGATCATTTTTGTTTTATTTTAGTGAGTTTCTTCAAAATTCTATAGATTTAGCAATTAGTATCTTGTCCATTGTGTCTCTGCTAAAGAATTTTTTCCAAGCAGTAGGTTCTTGTTTTAGTCTTTTGATGAAGTCTTTTGGTATGCATAAGTGTTTTATTTTTAATAGGTCACAATGATCTATTTTGTCTTCCACTTTCCTTAATATATTTGGTAGTCTGTGTATGACCTAAAATAGGGCACTTAGGTTTGTCCCATACCTCTGGGATTTATAACTCAAACCATCTCGAGTTCGTTTTTGTGCATGGAGTGAGCTGTGGGTCCTGTTTCATTCTTCCACAGCTAGAGATCCAATTTTTTCAGAATTATTTGTTGAATAGACTATACCTTTTCCCATTTAATATTTTTGGGTCTTGTGGAAAAATCATTTGCCTGTAGGTGGATGCATTATTTGGGGTTTCCTGCTCTGTATCTATCACTGTACCAGTACTACTGTGGCTATGAATACTAGGTTTTGAGGTTGGGTAGTATGAGATCTCCTACTTTGTTCTCCTTTTAAGGAATTATTTTCTTAACCTGTCTCTTCCCTCTCCACTTGAAGTTAGATTTTCCATTTCCTTGAAAAATAAACTTAAAATTTGGGTCAGAATTACATTGTTCTTATAGACTGCTTTAGGCAGTATTGATAGTTTCACAATATTACGTTTTCCTATTCATATCCATGAACTCACTCACTGCCATCAACTTAATGCTGACTCATAGCAACCATATAGGACAAGGTAGAACTTCCCCCAATGAGTTTCGGAGATTGCAACTGTTTAGGGAAGAAGAAAAACCCTATCTTTAACCCAAGGAGCATGTGGTTTTCTATTGACAGACCTTGCAGATTACAGTCAAATATGTAGCCACCACACCTCCAGGATTTACGATTACTCTATTTCAAAAAATCAAATGAAACCTAAACAAATGGAAAAATATTCCATGATCCTAGATAGGAAACTAAGCTCTCAAAAGAACAAAGTTTGATACCAAAGGCTCAATAGAAAGTAAATGTCTAGAAAATAATGATGGCATTTATCGGCAGGGGATTAAAGAGTTTTGTAACATCATTCAAGCAGGGTATATGTCAATAAGCCTCATAATTGAGAGATGGAGGACCAGAGAGAGGCATGTTTTCAGGTGTCCTTGGGAATAAGTTGTCTTGAATGAACATTTTTCTTGAACATTTTGCATCATTTTATTTTATCCTGTCAATTTCCCTACCCCATAGTTGTGAGTCTGATCTGTGAGTTCAAAGTAGCCACTGCAATAAATTATTTAAGCATCGTAGAGATGTGGAGTGCTGTGGGAGGGAGGGACCACTGGTATCAGAATGGGTAAATAAGGTTGAAGAGTGGAGGTATGTCTGACCACGACTTCATAGGGATTGTCCTAGTGCTATCCTCTAATACCATTTTTACACTTTCACCGGTGAATTTTGCCAAATGTGTCATTGAGTAACTAACATCAACTTTATAGGAACTATTCCAGAACACTGAAAATGAGGGAACACTTCCCTAACTCTTTATAAAATGACAGCATAGCTCTGACCAAAAAATCAGATAAAGAGTTCATTGTTGTCCTTGAGATCCAGGCCCAAGCTTTCTAAGTCCTTCAGATGCAGCTTGTCTATTATCTGGTCCTATCTGGTTTTTGCAATAGCAAGGTGGGCAAGGTGGGCGGGGAGAGCTAGACCTGAAAGCACAGTTCCTAAGCAAACCCAGCTTCGTTCCAATGCCCATGTGAGGGGTTTGGGAGCAGGGGAAATCATGGAGGGGACGACAAATATCTAGATTCACTGAGGCAAATATATTCAGCCTGCCAAATTGCTAAAGGAATACCAGAAGGAGAAACACAGGTCATTGTCCATCCCAAGTAAGGGAAACTGATGCAGATCTCTTGTTTGTGGGCAGTTAGGGTTCCAGAACCATAATGTAGAATGTGGTGGCAGAAAAGCTACAGAACAGAGGTGGAGAAAAGCACAGGCTATCTGTTGGCTATCGAGATCCCGAATTTGGGACTGTAGTCTTGATTCAAGGGTTCTGAAAAGGCAGAGCTGCTACATGAAGGCTAAAGTCTGGGATAGAGAAAAGGGAAGAGGCATGCAGATTGATCCACACTCCATTTATTGTTCCTTGAGCTGGGGGCCAGGAGAGGAATGACAAATTTTTCATTTTGTGATGACACTTTTGGTAATATCTGTTTCTTTCGGAAGGAATTAGGAGTTGCTGTGGAAGAGAACAAAAACATACATGCTCATGGTACAAATGCCAAACAAATTACCTTCTACTGTAAAGCACACAAATGGCTAGCGTAATACTAGGTTAAATTTTCATGTGGTAGAAGAAAAATAATCATAAAAACTTTTATAACTTTGCTTATGAAACTATTTGACCAGAAGTATTTTATTTATCATTTTCTATGATTTAGGGAGAACTGTTATGTTTAATCAGAAGTATTTGCAAAATGAGTGAATCTAACATATCTTTTCATATCTAAAAAGTTTACTAATCTAACAATTAATTAAAGTCATCCTCTTTAGCACATACTATACAGCCACAGTTGTCAAAACTGCATGGTATTGGAACAATGACAGATACTCAGACCAATGGAAAAGAACTGAAAACCCAGAAATAAAATCATCAGCATATAGACAACTGATTTTTGTTAAGGGCCCCAGAAATATCAAATGGGAAGATGATGCCCTCTTTAACAAGTGGTGCTGGAAAAAATGGATATTTACCTGCAGAAAAATGAAGCAAGACCCTTATCTTACTCCATGCACAAGAATAAACTCAAGGTGGATCACAGACCTTGAAGTTAAACCCCAAACTATTAGGGCCATCAATGAGGGAATTGGGACCAACTTGAAAACTTTGGCACAGGGCTATCAGAAATAGGGAAAGACACAAACGCAGAGGAGGCACAAACTGACAAATGGGATATACTGAAGATAAACACCTGTGTACAACAAAAGAATTCACCAAGAGAGTAAAAGCGAGTCCACAGTCTTGGAAAACATCTTTAGCAATGACACATCAGACAAAGGCCTTATTACTAAAATCTACAATACTTAATATATTAGCTTCCAAAAAGAAAAAAACGAATTGCCCACTTGAGAGGTGGGCAAAGGACTTGAACAGAAGTTTCACAGAGGCTGAAATCCGAATGGCCAACAAACATTTGGGGAAATGTTCCTGATCGTTAGCCATAAGAAAAATGCAAATTAAAACAACAATGAGGTACCACCTAACACTTTCAAAGGTAGCCCAATCCAAAAAATCAGAAAGTAACAAGTGTTGGAGGGGTTGTGGGGAGACAGGAACTCTCATCCACTGCTGGTGGAC